GTGTTGAAAATAGAGTGTAGTTGTACCATTTATATCTGGCACTCAACGCATCGGAGAACATCTCAGTGGGATGAGTTTACAGGCGGCCTCCTGCTGTGAAGCACAGCACAGCAGCATGGTGGGCCTAACACAGCTTGTATATGGAGTGACATTACTCCAAGGCTAAAAGAGTCTGTCTCTGGAGTGGCATTATCTCAGGCCGACCCTAGCCAGCGTGCGCAAGAGACATCTGACACAACCACAAACAGAGGTGACTCGTTCGGAAAGAAAGAAAAAAAGTCCAGACTAAGATTTTGTTTCAACCAATCAGTTGAGTACCCTATGACTGTGACTCTTTATACTCAACTGGTTGGTTGAAACAGTTAGCCTAGATTTTTACTTTCTTTCCCCGAATTATTCACCTCTGACCACAAGTAAACAGGAAAACCAAACGTATGAAGAAGGACCACGAAGAGGAAGCACACCCACGGACATGCGGCCGTTTTGCAGAGGGGGGTTCAAACCAGCGACCTTATGATCAGAGGCATTGTTTTGCAGAGGGTGGGCTCAAACCAACAACCTTCCAATCAGGAGCACTGTTTTGCAGAGGGTAGGCTCAAACCAACAACCTTCCAATCAGGAGCATTGTTTTGCAGAGGGTGGGCTCAAACCAGCGACCTTCCAATCAGGAACATTGTCTTGCAGAGGGTGGGCTCATACCAGCGACCTTCCAATCAGGAGCATTGTTTTGCAGAGGGTGGGCTCAAACCAACGACCTTCCAATCAGGGGCACTGTTTTGCAGAGGGTGGGCTCAAACCAACGACCTTCCAATCAGGAGCATTGTTTTGCAGAGGGTGGGCTCAAACCAGCAACCTTCTGATCAGAGGCACCACTCCACATAGAGCCTACATATTCCCACAACCCTGCACTACACAACAGATTAAAAGACAGACAGACTCACACATTTTATTTCTACATTAAGAAATTAAGAAAATCGCAAATCAAGAATCTTCACTCAAAAGCAACTTTTCCATTTAATGTCAGGAAGAAAAGAGGGACTTTTAGCACTACCTTGTAAACCAAAGATTTCCGGATCATCTAAACACAATCTGAAGAATGAATTGAAGTGAACGCAAAAAAAAAAACAAAAAGCTTCACCACCTAAATGTGCTTCCGTCTCATCATCATAATGTCACTTTTCTCATACTTGTATGTGTGAAACAAGCTGATATCAGTCCATCAAATATCTTGTTCAATCTAACCAGGCTAAATTCCCGGAAGTGCCACGCAACAGACACTTTAGTGTCAAATAGTTTTTTTTCATTACCAGCAACCAAACAGATGACAGCCAACACTACAGCAGTTTAACCCTTTTCGCGATGTTCATTGTACTCAGTCATCCTACAGTTTCTTCCCTCAGTCTGTTTACAGGGGAATCTATGGCTTCCACTAACTTTTACAGACATTATAAATCATCAAGCTTGAAATGTAGTTTTTTTCTTGCCAATGTTTTTTGTTAACAAGCAGCAGCAAGTTTACTTATAAAGTAAGTGGGCAAAACTGAAGCAGAACAGATGGAGTATACAGTAGCGTTTATATAATGTGCGTAAAATGATTTGCGTATTGCCACACCAGCAAAATACAAAAAAGCCCTTATTCAAGAGAGTTCTCAACCTGTCCACATCCACATGCTGTGTGCCATAAAGACAAACCCACAGACAACAGCCCACCCAATAACACCACTTTGCAGACGATCAGATTCCCTGAGAGCTGACTGGCTGACCTTAAATGACCTTACCCAGTTCAGATCACTATCTCTCCCTGCTCCCTCCATTCACAGAACCTCTGCTTCCTCCCTTTTGGGGGGTAACATATACCCACTCTCCTTTATACTTCCCTGGGAACATCCTTGTCACCCCCAGGGGAAAAAAAGGCAATATGAGATCATTTCTGAATCTATGTAATCTGGGATAAAGATAGGGGTCAAGATTGCTTATGTTCTGCTTCAGAGATGAGGAACAAATGTATTTTTGCATAAGCTATGTGGCTTCAGTTCAGCTGAAGTTGACCGAGACAGTTTGGTAGACAAATTTATATTTGATTAGAGTAGGGTTTCTGAGAACATTGACATGAAAATCCTGTCACAGTAAAGATAGGGTTTGCTCTCTGAAGTAGGTATAATTTTTACTCAAAGACCCCTTAAAGGATGTGACCTAAAACTCTGGCAATCACAATTATTTTGGAACATGCAGTTAAGTCACTGGGAAGCTGAGCTGCTGATCAAAAAAAACAAAAAAACAAAGGGCTGTGCCCATTGTAACTGGACAGATATACATGCACTGCATTGAAGGAACTTCAAAAGGGAAGTGGCTTCAAAGTGGACATCTGTGGTCTGCAGCTAGACAAATGAATGCAAGAAATTTGACTTCTTATATGATGTACAATGTACTGTGTGTGAACAATCACAATGAGCATCCCATACACAGATGCCGTGTTCGTTTCATCATTCCATTTGTCTGTTAAATAGAAGCATGCCCTACCAAACAGTGTCCAATCCACTTATCCAGGTGAAGCTGCACGTTCAGCCATGTCAAGGTCAACCTAGGATCACAGAACGAATGGCTAACTGCCATGGTAGGAGAGCAACTAGCTTTGATGACCCTCTAGACACGCTGTCAAATGTAACATCAAGCTGGAACAAGAACAATGATAGAAGGTGCTGATGGTGGAATCAGTCAAGCTCTTCAGATAAGGACAAAGTGAAGATAAGCAATCACAGCATTCCCCCCCCCCCTTCCCACCGACTCCTCAGTTTTCAGTTTAATTAATGCAACATGAGGATTTTTAATACAAACATGCCTTCTCTCTCCTGCTTGAGACACACTTAAAGAGCGTTTCACCATTCATAAGCCATACGCCACGGCCATTCCGGACCTGCCTGGTACTTGGCCAATTCCTGGCAACTTTTCCCTGTTTCTGAAAGCCGAGAGGTCTGGGCCCAGTGCCAGTTTACCTCCACGACAGCCAATCTGCCACACTGGATCCACGGAGAGTTCCCTCTCATTTGCATTTCCCATCTACCACCAGGGTTCCTGAGCAGAGAGCAGGACACCACAACACGCGAAGCCAACAGTAACAGCACAGAACTCAACACAAGAACATTTAACAGTTAATAGTAATTAAACCACAAATTACACAAAACATCATCGATTTCCAACAAATATTTTGTTTCATTTATATGCTGGTGAGAGGCACTTAGGCAAAAAAAACTACGGGCATCTTCTGTGTGGCCACTGGCCTGTGTGTGATTCCTCTGGATTAGAACTGACAGAAAAATAGCACGCATTACTTTGAATGAGCTTCACTCACTGAGTGAAACCTTCCAACATATGGCTCTTACCAACGATCCTGGGAGGGAGGGGATGGAGAGGGGGAAGTAACTCTAGAACTAGTATCGTCACAGATTCAATGTCTGAGCCAGATAGGTACCCGGACTCGTGATAAAATAAGACCGTTTGTGATGTTTGAGAAGAGTGCTTAACTTATGCTGCATCTGCAAAAAGACATCCAACTGTGTCAACCCATCAATCCATCATCTAACCAATTATCCAGCAGTCGATTGTGGGAATATGCAAGACGTTTTTGACAACAAATATACAGTAGCATACAATGTAACACACTTGACAATGACATGCTTAAAATAACACATCTCCTATGGCACAAAGGCCCCTACTGTAGATTTTAAAAACAGTTGTTTAAGGACTTGTGCCCTCAAAACCTTGCTTCTCTGGTTGGAACTTCGGGACTCTGGATGGAACCTCAGGATTCTAACCGAAGTTACACAAAACCCAGCAGACTTATTTCTGATTATGATCAGACAATAACGGAAGCTTCAACTTTAAACAAATTTAACTAATCTTGATGTGAATGGAGTGGACAAGTAATTCGTTTGTTAGTTTACCTAAAGCAATAAACAATAAAATAGCCCTTTGAACTAGTCCGAAGTCAGCCAAAAGTATTTGACAAAATTATGCAGCAATAATATTTTCAATTACAACAATGTAAATAAATTTAAATGAGAACGCTGCCTATTTTAATTCCTTTGTTATGCATGCCCGACATGCAGTCTTGTCTCTTGCTGTAACACAATGCTTCTGTTGGGGTGTAACACATTTACAGTACATCGCCATAATTTTCTCTTTGAAGGTAAATTTGGTACCAACCTCACTGTAGTACCAGCGGGACAGGACTTTACTTTATTTCATCTTGCAGCTTCCTAAAACATTTTTCGTCAACTATAAGAAAAATACTGATAGGTGTTCGCTGAAGACATGCTATTTCATACATTAGTTCTTGGTAAAAGAAATTCGGAATTAGAATTAGAACTGTCGAGGAGAATTATTTCATTTTTATATGTATTTTAAAATATGTAATTTATACGTTACATCATCCGATAAGGAAAGCCAGGACTGACATAAGACGGATACGAGTTAATATCTAAACCCCAACAAACTAAGAACACCGATGCGACAGGACAGTGTTCAATATCTTCTATTAAAAAAATGAATGCTCCTTTATGTACCAATAAATACATTCAGTCCCAGTTGTGGCGCCAACTACTTTATCATATCTATTACATATATAAGGTGGGCTTGCAAACTTGGGGACGTAGCTGACTACCAAACATGTCAGGCGTTGCATGTCCTTGTCCACAGCTTTGGATACGTCTGTCTTAGCGCTTACAAGCGGCATAACCTGTTTGACATAAGAGGGGTGCTGAAAACGCCTGTGTAAACGCAGCCCATCTCTTCTCCGTCCCTGCAAATCAACTCCACACATTCCTAAGAATACAACGCTGAATTCGAAAGCGAAACGCTTCTAGCCAGGATTAAAATTTAAAAACTCGAACGTGTATGAAGATTCAAAATACGTTTCACTGGGCATAAAATATCAGGCTTCTGTCCTCACAAGCAATGCATGAAACACGCCCCCCGCCCCGACCCGCTACGACCAAGCTTACCTTTGGTATTGCTGAATGCGGTGTACCAGGACAGCGATATGAATCCGCACAGACCAAACAATAAGACAGTTAGGAAGGTGCCATTTCGGAGCCTCATCTCCAGACCACCGGGCTCATGACCGAAGCGAACGCGGGATAGCTGCTGCTCCTGCCGCCGCCGCTTACTCTGCGCCGTCTCGCCTTTCTCCGGCAGAACTGGGTTGCGCCTTGCAGGACCGCCGAGCTGTATTTGTTATTGCGCGACGGTAACTCACACATTCGCAGGAATCGTGAACTCGGGGAGGGGTGTACAAAACAGGGGGAAGGGTTTACTGGCAGGCTGTCCTTAAAGAGAAAGGAGGCGAGCATATCGCTGGTGGGCGTCCGTTGCCTAATACAGAGGCCGGAGGCGTTTGCTTATTTTTCATATTCCACATATTTAATTGAAAGCAGACAAATTCGGTGTCCTTGTTAAGCAAGTCGTCCAATTCGTGCATTTCTACAACAAAGGACAAACATAAGGATGATTTGATAAGCTACGAGGCGGTTATGTACAGTAATTTTGGAAAAAAAAGACACTTTAGTAAATATTACATTTTGACAGCGTGGTGTGAACAGAACTGAAACACTGGTTTAATTTGCTGAAAAGCACGAAAATTAAGCAAGACTACACAGATATGATATACGTCTTATAATACACAATTCCTTTAAGTAAAAGGCTCGTGTAATGTACTTCTGTGGTTCTCTATTCGGCACAATTATGTGTTATTTAAAACTAATAATACACATTCGGGTAATATACCTGCTATTCAACAGAGATCCAGACGTAAGTAAACTATAAAAAAATAAGTTCCCGCAACAGTGCTTTTCATTTATTTTACTGTTTATGCAAACGAGTGTCTATAAAATTTCACAGCTCTCTACGAGACAGCGTCTGTTCTCTCGAGACTCAGATAAATGCGGTATAACTTTGCTTTTCTAATTCAGGCATAAAATGAATTATTACTATAATGACGTTTAATTAAAGCGAATGTCATCCTTAGTACTTTCTCCGCGTGAAATAATGTACTAGTATTTGCAGTATTCAAAAGACAGTGAGTAACAAATGATCCTCAGTTTTTATGTGTCGGTTCAATGGTTTCCTGAGGAAGGTAACGTAAGACAATTGAGTAGAATTTGCGTCGTACCGTGATTCTTTACATGATTGCATATAAAAACATATTTTCGAGTCTAGTTTCGGTTTAGAATAGTCACCCCAAAGTAACAACGATTAACTACTCTGTTTCTTGAAACCCCGCGATTCCAACCAGGTTTGGCATGGATGGATGGATGTTTCCTGAATCATGATGAAGTGCCATAACTCCGTAACCCATTTTCAGAATTCAGCAGCGTGCGTGTATTACACGGTTTACATTTTTATATTTTTGTTCTTATACCAAACAAATATGGATTTTGATCCAGAACACTGGCCAAACGCGAATTAAACCTATAATGTATTATATCCATATAAAATTCATTCCTGTGCCTTGCAGCACGGAAGTAACTACGCCACAATTAACATTTTATTTTAATATAATTTATGCTTGTAGGCCTCTTGTTAGCTTTTCAAGCGTCCGCTCCACTCGAAAAATCTGAATAACAGTTGAGGGTAATAACAGGCCTATTTTTGATTAATGTAATGTAATAATTTTCGTGTAGCAGATTCTTCTGGGTGGAGTTTTAGGGTCTTTTCTCATGATCAAGCATAGCAGTCGTTTTAATACACCAATAAGTTTTGTTTTGGTTTTGTTTTTTGTTTTTGTGCTGTCTCCCAATCAAGGTTGAGATACTGACTATTCATAATTGGTTTCACGGTACCAGGATATTATTCCCCTTCTGGGAGAAATGAAGTTATCTGAATACTGAATATTAATGGTAGGAAATTTAGACTTAGAACAGCTGTTTTATATTTATACGCGCATATTAGCTAAATATAGGTTAATTAGAAACGAAAATGAAAACGACCACAAGGGAATTGTGTAAGTGCATCAGTCGGTTTCAAAAACTTGACAACACTACGAAACTCCTCACTGATATAGATATATATATATATATATATACAACATTTAGTTTGTCAGTTAACACAAAGGTCGATGACAGTTACCGATTTTGTTGTTAGTTGCGAAATTGCGGTTTTAAAACGGCGAGGCAGAGCTTTCATCCATCGTTTCACATTCTTTACACGATTAATATCTAATCTTGTGATTTCGCGGGGTCCGTAATCTGATACCTCGGCCCAATGTGCGGAAGGCACTAATGGTGACGAATAAAACAGAGTTATTCCCTTACAATGTGATGGGTGCATGCCCGCTATCGTTCTTGGAGGGCTGAAAAAATATATGCCTCCGTGTTTCACTGATTAAACCTATCAGAAATCAGATTTGCATATTTAATGCAAATTTAATTTCTAAATTCGGACGCATAATTGACATCTGGGATATTCAATACAGTCAAAGCATTGTTTTAAAATTACAGCATTATTCAGCATCCCGGTGGGGCATGCACAGACGGTGCGCAAAATAATGGAAATCGACAATGGAAAAGAAATATGGAACAGGAGCTTAAACATGACATGATTATAGACTGCTGTCTTAAATACGTATTCAGATCAGTTTGAATTCCAGTTGCCTGTGTGTGCCACCTGTAAAACCAGTTTGACGATCAGCACTTTGTTCTGTGAGCTGTCAAAGCAACTTAACCACATTCCAAAGAGACCACAATGGCATGTGCATAGAGTCAGGGGCTTTGCTAGAGATATTGAGCCCCCAAGTCCAGACCAATCCAGTTACAGTATGTTTTAGGCACCCTGTCACTCAGGGGCCCTTAGAATCCTCCTAATTCCCCAACCCGCCCCCTTACGGCACCCCTGCATAGAGTGCTGGTTGGGGATCATATAGAGTTCTAGTCAAGCTACAGGACAGGTTGCTAAATTTGGCACCTTCAGAAGATGGCCTTCGTCATGTAATGTCACAAAGTGGTATGTACAAAGGGGAACAGTATTAACAATCGTAGCAGCACATACTAAACATGGAAAAAAACCCTTGGCTTCATTCAGAACCATTCATACCTAAAGACCTAAATACACAATGATTTAGTACATGGTGTAAAGAGCATGAAACCTCCATCCATGCACAATGGAAAAAGGAATGTGGTGCGGATTAGTCATCGTTCGTAATTTTCCTTGATCCAAACAGGTTTACGTTTGTAGAAAACGAAAGGATGCCTTCAACCCACAATGTATGTTGCCAACAGTTCAACGTGATCCTTAATTATTTCAGTTCTATCATAATTAGTTGTCATTTCACTTTACATTCATCATGAAGTGGTAACTTTACAGTTCTTACGGTAGTTTTCTTAAGGTCAGCGAAACGTCCGCGTTTATGGAGTAACCCTGCCATCTAACGGAGAAGAAATGTTACTTAGCGCACATTTTGTATTGCGTGACGAATTCTAGACAGACTGACGAAGAAGAAAACACGCAGACAATAGTTCCACAATGTCTTGAAAAGCTCAATTTTGTATGATTAGCAGAATAAATTAACACAGAGTAACAACTACTTATTTAAGAAGACAAGAGTCTAAGTTTTAGCGTTAATATACACATATAATGGAAATGCTAGTTTGTGCGAATATTTGTTATGTCCCATTAGAAGCTACCATGGTTAACCCACTTTACTGATACATCACGAACAAAGTTTTGCATGTGTGCCTTCGATGTACCTTTCAGTGGAACAATTCAGTCATGTGTCAGTATGACTCGTACATATATGGCGAGTGAAGAAACTTCCAGATCTTTCTCGTGCCTTTGTAATGCTGAAATGATGTAACAAGGAAATCAGACGAATTAGTCACAAGAGCTGAGTCACCATCAGCTGACCGAGCGGTCGCCTAGGGGATCAGGGCGGGAAATTAAAAATGACCTTAACGTTTTTAAAAGAGGTTAACTGCGGTGTTTAGGAAGTGACGTTGCAAAAATCAGACACAATGTATTAAATGTAACATAGCTGTCCGTTTACTTGGTCGTTTAGTAACAATTAGGCCTCCATTGGGTTTAAGTTACATTTCCTCTTAATTTGTTGCTCTGACCTTGTAAAGCCTTTTACTTTGCCAGTGAAATGTGTTACTTCGGTTCATGCCGCAATATTGTAGTATATAGTAACAGATTTAAAAAATAAGAATTATAAATTGGCAGATTGGTGGCTCAGATTGGAGTCTGAGTTTACATGTTCTCATTGATATATTGTGTGGGTTTTCACCAAATTCATATGACTAGGTGAACTGGTGTCACTACATTGCCAATAGGGTGTGACTATGTATGCCCACTTCTGGATTTGTCATACATGTAATTCTATACAACACCCAGAATGACAAGAATGTTCAAGTTGATACACTGTCAGAAAAAAAGTAGCAATTTGTACCTTTGCTTGTAACCCCAGCGTAGGGTCTGCAAATTTACTCAAGCTGTTAGTAAATGTTCCTTTTAAGCTACAGAAATGGACGCTGACGAACATTTTTGTACCATTGGGGGTACATTAATGCTGTTTGTACCTTGAGGGTGTTCCTCAGAGTCCATTTCAGTAGCTCAAATTAGACTAAAAGGTACACTGCTGGCAAAAAATGAAGCAAACAGAGCCTATCACCGTTCCTATATGTACCTTTTTATTTGAAGAAATACAAGTGCAACAGTCTAAGCAGGAAGCAACCATGTAACACAATATTATACATCTAGTGCACATATGAGTATGAAATGGCTTTTCCCTCGTTTTTCCTAAGAAAACTCAACCTTTTTGGCAAGCTATCTGACAGCCTTTTGCAGTGTGCTGCATCAATACTCTTCCATTCATGTCTGACTGCTTCCCACAGCTGGTTGTTGCTCCTAAATTTTCTGCCAACAAGTCTGGCCTTGATATGCACCCATAAATTCTCTATGGGGTTCAGATCTGGTGAAGGACCAGGCCAAACCATCACTGTCAGTGAACGCTGCTCCAACCATGACTTTGTTGTTTTTGCTGTGTGCTCGTACATTATCTTGTTGGAAAATGGTGTCTTGTCCGTCATTTCCACTACACAACGTGTTTAAGCTTGGTAGCAACCCTTTCTGTAATTTCTTTTGTTGCTCCTTTGCATTAATGGACTTTTCACATCGCACCAGCTCACCAATACCAGATGCAGAAAACACCCTCCATACCATTATCCCACCTCTGCCATGTTTCACAGTGGTGCACAAGCAATCTGGGTTGAATTTCTCACTTGACCTACGAAGAAAGTGTTCGGGAGCATCAGTACACAGCTCAGAACGTTACTCATCTCTCCAGAGAACACACGGAACCACTGAGAATCATGGGGACCCTAACCTAGCAAAAATTTGAGTCTGTCTGCCACATTATTTGTGGACAGCAATGGTTTCCTTGCACACCATGTTGATGAAAAACCAGCTTCCCTGAGCCATCTGGTAATTCTATGTAAAACAGCCTTATTTTGCGCATTTCTGAATTCCTGTGCTAATTTCGTGAGAGGCTTCTTATGATTCTTCAGAACAGTCATTTTCAGCTGTCTGTCATCTCGACTTGTTGTCACTTAAGTCTTCCAGAAGCTGCTTTCTGTGCCACAGATCCTGTCCCTTGAAATGTGTGACCAATTCTCAGAATAGTAGACAGTGAAATCTGGATATCCACAGACTTCAATCAGACATGAATGGAACAGCACTGACGCAGCACACTGTCAAAGGCTGTAAGACAGCTTGCCCAAATGGCTGAGTTTTTTAAAAAAAAAAAAAAAAAAAAAAAAGAGAAAAGCCACCCCCTTCTAAATCACACGCTGACTACAGACATTGCATACAATATTGTGAACCACTGTTACCTATTTCACCTGTATTTTAAACAAGAAAGCAGTGCACATTTACCTACAGCTAGGGAACAACTGGCAGACCCACAACTGGGATACAGCCCCAGTGACAAGCAAAGATATAAACTGGTACTCTTTTTTTTCTTACACTGTAGTTGTGTATCTCTTAGAAATACGTAAAATCAAGATATATCTGGATTTAACATAAGATAAAAATATCATACACTTAATCATACACAGATGTAACTTGGCATACTGTCTAGCCTGTGCCCCTGCCTCGCACCCAATGCCAATACAGACAGGCTCCAGGTTTTACCATCCCTGACCAGGATAAGTGGTTGTAAGTTGGATGGATGTATGCACTCTCAGAAAAAAAAGGTAAAAATTTGTACCTTTGATTGTCACTGGGGCTGTACCCTCAAGGGTCTGCCAATTGTACCCTTAGCTGTAGGTAATTGTACCTTTTAAGGTACAGAAATGGACTCTTAGGAATATTTCTGTACCATTGATGGTACATTAATGCTGTTTGTACCTTTGGGATGTTCCTCAAGAGTCCGTTTCTGTACATAAAAGCTTCAATTACAAGAATATCTCAGTGACAAGCAAAGGTACAATTTTTTTACCCCTTTTTTTCAGTGTGTATAAATAATAAAACAAACGCATACAGCAAAACGCTTTATACTACGATACTAAAAGCATTTTTACTATGTTAACAAATATTGTTTTAGTAACTGGCACACGGTGATTTCATAAAGGGATTTTCCCGTTGAAAAACTGCTATGTCATTACCCACTTTCCATAACAGCAGCGCAGAGATCGCCTGCGCCGGTAGGTGCAACAAAACACAAAACAAACGTCCCGAGTCATGACGGGTGACGTTCGCCCCTCTGATTGGACCATCCGGCTGTATATACTTGACAGGGAACTGCTCAGAAGACATTTTAGTCCAAATTTCGTCTGCGCAATAGTCAGCTGTACCGGTAAGGATCGGAGAAGAGCACCATGTCGATGACAGTGAAAGCTTACCTCCTCGGAAAGGAAGACATTCAGAAGGAGATTCGCCGCTTCACGATTCCTGAAGATGCATCGAGCAGCTTCGTTTATCTCACTCAGAAGATAACCGATATTTTCCAGAGCCTTCGCAATGCCACCTTTCAGACCTACTATAAAGGTACGAAACAAGTTTATTTAGTGTCATGTGAGAAGTAGGTATTTGTATGTTTTTTTTATTTGTGTCGCAGTCTACTTAATATAGAAATATAGTTGTTGAATTGTGATACGATTGATATGTACGTAACTGTAACTTTGACGCTCCCTTGAGGTTGTGTCATGAAGGTAGGGTAAACAAATATGGCGCATTCGTCATGTTTCTACAAGTTTTTATAGAACATTAATTATCCATTGGCTTTTTGTTTACTACGATTTGCGCATAAAGTAATAATGAGATACAACTGGCTATTTTTGTAAACCCATCTTCTGAACGAGTACATAACTTTCATAATAACAAATTGTATTTTTAAGATCTACATAAACATCCGACCTACATATTTTAATAGTGTATTTTTTAATATTGATGTTTGTTTTTTGTAATTTTTATTCCACTATCAAATCAGTCTAATCCTAGTATATTAGAAATAATATACCTGCTGTCTTTAATACACTGTTCGATTACCTTACTGACTATAAATAAAACTAGTTTGAAAGCTTATTTAGACGAGCTTGGCACCATGTAGACACTCAGCATAGCACTGTTGCCGTATTGTCACTGTTTTGATAGCCTAGCTTCGTTGCTAGATTGGTATTGGTGCTGGTTATCATGGTTCAAAACGTGAAAGGAAGTACAAGATCCTAGAATATTCTATGTACCAAACTACAGTACATTTGTTTGTTCACGGCACCTTGTTTTCTCAGATGAGGATGGAGATATGATTGCTTTCTCCTCCGATGAGGAACTCATCATGGGACTGTCCTGCATGAAGGACAAAACCTTCCTTCTCTATATCAAAGGTGAGTTACCTCTTACATTGAAGTTCTGGATACAAATCCCCGATTCAGGCCACATCTGCTAACGAAGGCGATGCTATGCACTGTTTAGTGTCGGGTTATAACAAACAGACATGCTCACACAAATATGCAGGTCCCACTAATGGCAAGCGGATTCTGACGTGCTTCATTGCATTTCATTTTATTTTTCCTCTTCAGAAAAGAAGGAACACAAGCGAGAGCAGGTCCCCAACGGAGCCCAGGCTCCCTGTGATCCGACCAATAGAGCACCTCCACCTCACGCGATGGTGCACCCCAATGTGACATGCGACGGCTGCGATGGTTCAGTGGTTGGAACACGCTTTAAGTGCACCGTGTGCCCCGACTATGATCTCTGTGCCCCCTGCCAGGCCAAGGGGCTTCATAAGGAGCATGCCCTGCTACCCATCTTGCACCCTCTCTACAACATATTTGAGGTGAGCTCTTGTTACTGTACATAAATTGCACATGGCCTTTTGGCCACTAGGGGGCACTCGACTTTATCTTGTATTTAAGTGTTAAACCTTTGGTTGTTTTCTCTGTAACCTCCTGCAGTGTATTCCTCGTGGGAAGTGGCTGCGCAAGATGAGGCATGGCTACCCTTACTGCATGTGGGCAGGAACCCAGGCGCAGAACCAGGGTCAATTCCAGCCAGGCCCCTCTGGACAGCAGCCGGCCTCTCATCCCACCCAGAAAGCCCAGGGGGGTGACCAGCCTGGTAACCCAGCCTGTTCCTCTAAAATGCAACATGACCTTGATCTTACTTTATACGCTTGTTAATCAAAGGTCTATACACAAAGGAATATAAATGTCTTAATTCACATACTTAAATATTTATATGGTAATTAGCTGATACATAAAACGGCTATCTTGATTTGACTGAACACGTCACGGTCACATTTAAACACCACACCACTAGCCCTTCCTATGGCCAAGCACATCCCTTCTGTTGGTTTTGTACCCCATCTATTCTGTTCCCACACACATTCATTGTGTCCCACCTCTCTTCCTCCTCCTAGGGGACGCTTCCAGCCAGGCCAATGTGGAGTACCTGAAGGACATTGGACAAAGCGTGGCTGCCATGTTGAGTCCTTTGGGTGGGCTTTCTTGTCTCTCTTCTTGCTGCTGCTGGTGGTGGTGGGTTGCAGGCCCTTTAAACCCAGTGGGCATTTGTTTCCAATTTGTTTTCGCAGGCATTGATGTGGATGTTGATGTGGAGCATGACGGCAAACGGACCAAAGTGACTCCAACTCCCCCGGGTTCTGGGGGCCCCTCCAGCCTGCAATCCACCAAGTCAAAGGACAGCTGGCAAGAGGGGGAACCAAAGAGAGCCAACAGCTTGCAGGATGACAAGGTAAACTTTTTCATTTTGGAATATAAGTTCCAGGGTTTATGACCCTGGAGTCCACTGAACTTGATGTGGTGTGTGTGAGAAGCTACATTCACTGTATAAGATGGTGCTCAACAACCTGGTTCTTGGGGACCTCCAGGCAGCAGGGGCACTGCTAAAGACTTTGGGCCCCATGAAAGCATAGATGATATATTGGGCCCTTGGAATCGTCCTGGCTTATGCTGGGGGGGGGGGGACATAAACAAGGACCGTCTGAAGGTCCCTTAGGACATGGTTGGGAAACACTGCTGTAGTAGATGAGCCATCGTGAGACTTTATGGAAGCCATAACTGTGTTCAAGAGCCACTTATTCCTCACTTTTGTCCACAGGAATGCAAGGACCAGGGCAAAGATGAAGAGTGGACCCATCTCAGTTCCAAAGAAGTGGATCCCTCCACAGGGGAGCTGCAGTCAATGAGGATGCAGCCTGACAGTCCAGAGTTCTCTGCTGCCTCCGCACAGGCTTCTGTCGGCATGAGAGAGGCAGCACTATACCCCCATTTGCCTCAAGGTACGGATTGTACATGTACTATATGTACAATGCTGTACATTTACAGATTAACTTGAAGTGTGTAGAATACGGGAACAAAGTATCCCTCTTGCTTTGCAGTTCAAGATGGTGGCAAGACATACTAAGCTGGTCTCGTGTTCTCCATGCAGATGCTGATCCACGTCTAGTCGAATCCCTGGCTCAGATGCTGTCCATGGGTTTCACTGACGAGGGTGGCTGGCTCACTCGGCTCCTTCACACCAAGAATTATGATATTGGAGCCGTACTGGATGCCATCCAGTATGGCAAAAACAAAGGCCCCAAGAAGTAACTCCAGGGCACCTAAACCAATTAACACCAGTTGATTCTTCTGCCACTTATCTACGTAGAAATGATTTCTGCTTCTGTCGACTTAACATAACCTCAGTTTTGCACAAGTTATATAATCTTGTAGCTGCATATAAAGGGTCCATGGCAAGAGATTAACTAGCCTTATTATAGAGATGGCAAAAATCCTTTAAAGCGGGTCTTCTGATTTAATGAGATTTTATTCATTGTGATGGTTAGTTTCATATTGCTATAAATGGCAGACGTAAGATGAGTTGGGTCTTAGAATGGTTGATAGTCAGTGAAACGATCATGCCAGGCTTTGGGTTTCTGGTCACTATGAAGGATGTTTGCTGAAGTCTTTTTATATGACAATCATTAAATGCAGAATCTTTGTCCTTCCTCTTAATAAATAAATAGCATATGAAGCAATAAGGTCTCTTTATTTCTGTTAAATCAATATCCTATTTTAAAAGTCCTTAGAGGTGTTCAATATACACCCATCCTTGCAAATAACAAGCTAGGCACAAATACTTAGGCCAGTGGATGAAACTGAAAACTAAAATGTGTCGTCAAAGTCATCTTCTGTTTGGAAAAGCGAGTGGAGCACCCCAGCCCAACTGCTTCCTGTCCGTGGAGCAGATATGTCTGCAAGACCCCTGGTAGCAAAACTCCCGCCGTCACTGCCCAATGCACGGCTGAGATCATGTCCCACAGCTGCTTGGGCTGAAACCACCCTGGAACTGCCCTCGATTACAATAGCTCCGGCCTTATCGGAGCAGCTGTCCTCCTGTACATCACTGCTTTCCTTTGCCTCTTCACCGTCACAGGATTGAGCCAGGAACCTGGCCCAGTTGGAGGTCATCTTCTGTACCGCCCTTTCACTAGCTACAAGCTGGGGAGGAGGCTCCGCTACAAAAGACTGCCTGCTAAAAGCTGAAGCTTCAGCCGCAGGAAGTGTCGTGTTTGTAGTTGAATCTCTTGGAGAAACCTTCCCTGATACCCTTCGGTTACTCTGGAGATCTTGGTCCAGCTCCCTCTGTAAGATAGGACATAATTAATACTAATTTGTGCTGTAGTGCACCACAAATCCATGGCAAAAATAAAGCTGCATACCCCATGAAGGTGATTAGTTCTAACCATAGTCCTGGTGGCACATGGTTCATGCTGTTTTGTGTTTCATCGGCGCTCCTAATTATCTGTGACTAAGCTAATGATTGACTTAATTTCACAGATAAACTTGTTACATCAAATGCATTATATTACTACATTTTCTTTCTTCAAACCACTGGCATAATAATTTTATCATCGTTGACAATTTTAGCTCGTGAATAGACTCCATTAATAAACGGCACTAAAAGTTTGACTCAAATATAGGTCTATTTGTTTCGCACAAATAAATGGGCAAATAAAGGGAACTTGTTTTAAATGTTTTCCATTATATATTCTTCATCGATATTAAATTCAGCTTGTTATTAAAAACACAGTGAGCAGAGTTGTTCATTTTAAATCTCCTGTCAGTTTTTCATTCAGATCAGGCATCAGTGAACGTATTTCATAAGACAGAAAACAAAGAACAGTACATTGGCACCACGATTAGTTCTGAAAAGCACCGGACTACAGAACACAGTTCTGAAGCAGATCATTAAATCATTAAATGTAGGCCCTTTACCTTTTGCTTCTTCGCTCTCTTCCGAGGATGGTGAACTTCTCTGGGGTCAAGATGGGGCGACTGCCCAAAAGATGAGCTCCATCCTCTCTGATGTTTCCTAATGGTCATCAATACCCAGTTACACCAGCAAACTGGGCCTTCATTAACATATGGTCTTTTCCCATACACACATAAAACCCATACCTGCACTGTCCTATTAACTTAGCTTGTAGCTTCATGCAAGCAAATTTTTTTCATCGCTTTAGATCAGCTGCAAAAATATGAATGCAAGTCTGTTCTGAGTGCAAATGCCCTACCCATTCTCAAGGTACCATTCAAAACCCAGCTGAGTAATTTCTCATACGTCACAAAAGGACCAAACAAAACATGCAAATACCTAGAGTTAGTTTTGTATGCGTTTCTGAAGATTGCGAAGTCTTCTCTGTCAGTGTAAACATTCTCTTCCTCTTCAGGTTCCTCCTGTAACACCCTGTCAACCTTACTCTCCAGGTATTTGCTCCAGCAGCTGGTCTTAACACCCTCCACCTGAGCCAATGCACACATGCACATAACTGCCTGAATCACAGAAGCACTATACTAGTCCGCCTCATCTATACACAAAGCATTAGTTCCATGCAATAAAAAATCCTTATCGATACACAATGACCAACACAATAAAACTAATATGGTTAATAGTTTTATGCCATACTGAAAAATATCTTTTGTTGCAATCACTATCACCTTCCCAGAATACCCAGTGCTCCCAACTTAACTCACCAGCTGATCCCCACCATTTGTGGGTTCATCTGCTGACTTCCTTGTTTCACTGGCCTCCTGCTTCCTTTAAAAGAGAAACAGAGACATTAGTCCCCCTCTCTGAGGGTAGGGACATTGCAGCACCAAGTGTTAAGTAATTTAAGGACATGGAAGCCATTTAAGGAAGTACAAATTTCATATGTGACTGGAAGCAAAACGTCAGCATGCTGGCAGCAGAATTCTGATTCTAGAACTGGGCAAAATGACAGTTCTTCATTATTTAGGTTTGCTAATGTACACATTAATTCCAACAGTTAAATCCCAGTTCACATTCGTCTTCCAAACCAGACTGTAAACATTCCACATAGGTTATTAATTCAGGTTAGTCTGGTCCACTGACCCTCCAGCTTACATTTAACTAGAGCAACTAAGACGGAGGAATTAGCGTGACGGCGAGCCCAAAGGATCACAAAGACAGCACAGCCATGCAAAATGCATGGTTACCGTGGCAATGAGGCCCGCATGTCCTCAGCTTGCAGGACCTCTCCTCGTAGGGCATTGAGCTTCTGCACGTGGCGACGGCAGTCAGCCCCAGAGCCCTGCCCATACACCTGCCGAGGTCACCGCGTCAGTGTATGCAGCATGCACGCTATATGCACATGCAAAACTAGTTACAGCGTCTGATATTTTTAATTACCAACCAAGGGAACATTTAAATATATTAGATTTTTCTTAGCATCATTATTAGCTTAAATTGGCAGACAAGCCTAAAATAAACAATTGAAACACTAAAGAAAGACATACAGTCCGTGAGAAAGGGTCATTTCCAAGACCTGCCATGGGCAAGTCTGCATGCTTATCCTATTTTACAGAGGTTAACCTATCACCTAATTCTTTATGTCTGAAGCGATTGACGCCAGAGACACACCAATGCTAGGCAAGGAGTAACAGTTGGACCTAGGTGTCAATTTTCAGTTAAATTTTAAACACTTTAAATGGACCAACCGCTGATAAAATAAACAAAATTTTCCTTCGCCTTTAATGATCCTGGGCTCTGATGCGAGTAGCCAGCCAATATTCTCCACGGGGTGCAATTTATTATTATTATTATTATTATTCCCTTTGTTGTTAATTTTTGTATTTGCATTTTTTATAAGGTTTACTGCGCTATGTTATAAACTTGTGAATTGTGTGAACAGTATATCACTGGTATTAAGGGCTGCGTGCTGTGACGCTCACTTTCTATAGTTTTTGAGTTTTAATAGTAATTTAACGTGAAAACGTTAATAGTTATTCCAGTGTACCTCTAACTAGTGCCAATGAAACATACTCGACTTTAGATGAAAATGGGAAGAGGACGATAATCCATTGGTCTTCAATCAACGTACCTTTAGAAGTGACTGCTTTTCTCCACACATTTTACAGTTCCATTTTTTACTCTTTTTAACCTAAAATGAAAATTTAAAAAGTTTACAATCTGCAAAGTAAAAGTCTTCATAAACTTAATCATAAGATCAATAAAGAACAGACGACACAAGCTGTCGTATTTCAGTGCACATTTGCCTAATCGCTTTTAATTAAAGTAACAAATGTACACTTCGGTTAACAGCGGTAAGAGATTACGTATTTAGTATAACGCTTGGTCTTAAAACTGGGGTTTGTCTATGAACAGAGACGTGTTCATAGACAAGGAGGAGACTTTTTGCGTGTTTTTTCGCTGCCAGCTTGCATTGCTGACATTATGGAGAAGCCTACCTGATGCACCTGGAAAGTTTGGCACGAAAAGCATCTCAGCACATTAAATTCTTGTCCCATCTTGAATACGAAAATATCTGATAAAGGATTCAAGGTAATTATTTATTTTGTATTCACGCCTAATTCAACAAGTGAATACAACAAGCTAACCTACACGCTTCTTCGTCCCGGCCAAATGTTTTGAAAATGGCGGATAATCGCGCCAAGTGCGCTCTCAAATAACGCTAGCGCCCCCTGGTGTACAAGTGCACCACTCATCTCGTTAATCCAGCAGCTCTCAGTCCTGTTCCTGGCACCCCCGTCAGAATGTTACCAGAATGTTTAATAACAATCCTAACATAATAAGGCTTATATGGTCCTTAATAGGCTAATAATCAATGGTGCAGGTTGAAGGCAGTGTGGCTTGGAAAGAAAACGTTCTGGCAGGAGGCCCTCCAGGAACAGGATTGGGAAGCATTGCATCAAAATCAGTCACCCATTCATGTTTTGTGACCCCAAAGCATCTTGATGATCCTGGAGCCCGGATGCACAGGGAACTCCCTGGACAGGACGTACTCACACTCACACATTAAGAGCAATTTAGAGACGGCAATTTTACCTAACTGCATGTTTTTGGACTGCGAGAAGAAACCAGCACACACTCAAAGGGAACTCAACAAACACACACCAAGCCAAATATGATAATATTGTGACTATTGCCTCATACTGTTTTTAAGCAATAACCTATAAATATTTTAATTGAAATTCATATCTTCGGATCACCCAGCTAGGCTAATACTTATGTAGAATATATAATCTTATTAATAATTAAAAATTATTCAACAACCTTACAACTCACACATGAAGCAGGCTTATTTAGTATTTGTATTTATTATATATCAAAGATGTACAGTACATATTGATCAACAACATTTAAAAAAACTCAAAATTAGCATAAAGTAAGAAATGGTAAATAAATAGTGACTCAGTAATGGACAAAGGTGAAGAATGTGCCGTGTGATAAAAGGGCACAGAACCAAGATTAATTCAACAATGAAAGAAGTTCACTGACGACACGGTGAGCTTTGGCTGAAAGGTGTTATAATCAAATATTTTTTTCCCCATTAGTGTCTTTTACATTACAGCAACAAGCCTGCAGCAAATAAATATTGAATATCAGTATAATAACTAATCAATCTTTGCAAAGACATCTATTTTTGTGTAGCAGACAATAAAGCTGTACAATAAGGCAGTTTACAAAGGATGCCAGTCAACATTAGCCAGTAGCACAGTACTGAATGCCCTACATATCAAGGAAGAAAAAAAACAACAACAAACTCCCTTGGCAGCCATCACAACACTGCTAATGTCCTGAATGAGCGGTTTGCTGGGAAACTTCTTCCCTTGGGCTCCCCCTACCCAAGTCCTTCAAATTGTGAGAATCCCTGGAATGAGGGAAGCCTATGAAGTCTACTGTTGGCCAACTAGAAGCCACTCACAACTTGCGGGAGAGAAACACTGGATTAACAGATAACTCCAATTGTATATATCTGAGAAAAACTGACCGCAGAATCTGATGTGAAGATGCATGCAGGCAGAGGAGGATTGGATCTGGTGAGGTTACGGTGTCTCCTGTATCCACATCCCTTTTCATACACGTTTTACATGTCATACATGCCACCTTTTCTGAAACGAGGCAGACTTGGGGAACCACAAAACCCACACCTGTCTGACCCTACCTGTTCACCCAAACTATCACATCTATACACATCCTTTTAAACACATCCAATTCCTGAAGCAAACTGATAACACAATACTCAAAGGTAAGAGGTGATCACTACATCTTTTCTAGACATAATGGCATTGCAATAATACAGAGGACAGTTAACCATATTAGATTATGATATGCAGCAAACAGCTAGAACTTACTTATTATAAACCAATCTGATTTGGCTGAAATTTTAAACAAATCCATAGGCAACAAATTACTGTAAAAAAAAATATATATATAAGGTAAACTGGAGAGAGAGTAGTTAAAGCAAACATTTCATAGTATTTTGTCTGTCTGGGTTCTCACAGGAAGTAGATGTCTTGTGGGTTTTTGGTTGAAAATTCACTACAGTTATTACTGGATTTAACACTGAATGGGAGACAAGTAAATAACGGAGTATTGTTACTTCGACTTTAACACTACAGGGAATAAAGATCAGGCTCAAGAAAAGTAACACTGTGATTGACACTGAAACAAAAAACTTACAGAGGGGCATCAATTATAACCCAGAGAGGAAAACGGCAAAATCTGCAGAGTAACCTGTTAACTGGTGTTACGGGTGAACACTGTGTCTTTACAACCTGCCGTGTTCATTCACATCAGGAGGTAGTTAGGAGCTGCAGATTAAGTTTCAGTAAATGCTTAAACTTACTTGGTAAATGCAACTTTCCAGCACGTTCTTCCTGCCTTATTCTATTTTAGGTAATTAACTGACAAAATCATAAAAGCTCTTCAGGGTACTTGATGTTTTCTTTCAGACATGCATTTCTTGCATTGTGTTAATGCCATGTTCACAGATAGACGTTACTGGATGTATCCCTCCTAAAACTTTTAGGGTCAATGAAATTTATTTACAATTTGATTGGTAAGAAGCAAGAAATAAGAACAAAACTAACGGAAGCATATTCTACTTTCTTTTTAAAATTAAATTGACCCTTAATAAAATCTGATGTACATAATATTGGGAGCTGTGTTCACATGTTTGTTCTGGCCTGTAATGAATTTATATTTTGGTAGATACAAGATGTGTATAATAAGCCAAGACACGCAAGAGTGGAAAGTGTCTAAGTTGAGAAGCAGCGTCAGGGGGGTGAGCAGGTACTAAGACCAAGCGGGTGAGAAAGCGAGTCGAGGTGAGGAGGGCGGTGTGGGATGTGACTCAGCTTAATGGCAGCGAAAAATCGTGCTCACTAGACGAGCTGACCTGCCTCTCCACAGCCCTCTGGGCCCGGCACGCTGCCACTCTGGCCCGCAGGTCATACTTCTTCTCAAAGTAGTCCACCAAAGCAGGCTCCGTGAGCAGAGAGGCCAGCACCTGCTCAAACGTAATGGACCAGTCTCCATCTGGGCAGCTGCCCCGGTACTGGTCCCCACAGCCGATCAGCACGGTGTCATCGGCGATGTCCTCACACTGCAGCGAGCCCGCACTCACCAAGGAGTAGGACGACACAGACGTGTCATCTTTTACCTCCTCCTCGGAGCTGGGGAGGAGAGTGACATCCAGCTGGGCCTCGGCTAAGGCCTTCGTGACCTGAGCCTCTCTTGAGCTGCTCTCCCCAGCAAGCTCCTCCTTTCCTGGCTGAGCCACGTTGGAGACGGGGCTGGTGGTGCACTGGCCTTCGGACCTTTTGGCTCCGTTGTTTGTGAACTTTTTCCCAACCTCACCGATGCGTAACAGCAGGCTGGCTACAGTGGCAATTGCATGATACAACTCCTGCTCCAGTGGGTCTTCACTAAACATATTGTAGAGGGTTTTACACAGCTCAATAAACTGCTCCTGTAGACAGTAAAACACACAAGCACAGGGAAAGTTAGTAGGTGATGTAATCTTTGACCATTCCAGAAAGGTTACTAAAATGCAAATGCAAGACAATTGGCCTTTGAGTTTTCCCTGATGTCTCCAAAGATGACAGACCTGGCACACTGCACATCATGCTCACCAGTGAGTGAGCTGTAATTTCACTATGACAAACTAATTTTATAACCAGAGTTTAAAAAATTATGGCCAGGATACAATACGGCCATAATGATTTTCCAGTACAGCAAGAGGAAGTGAAACATTGGGATTTGACCTGCAGATAAACAATCCAATGATAAAATATCTTTTGATCATGTAGCATTTAGACAGATTAAAACAGCTTATTATAAGCACTGGATATATCAAATTCGCGATTTTTCCAAAAACACGATAACAATAAAAACACGATGTTGCAATCCTTTGTTAACATACAAGTGTTTCTCAAATTCTTTAGTTACAAATGATTCTTAATTGTAATTAACATGCATGATTCATTTGTTAATTCTAGTCGTCCCTTGAATATGGACATTGTCCAACACATACTGCTTAAAGCCACATCATAAATGTTTTCACGTGGAAATGCATTAACTAATGCATGAATCATATTTTTTCCTCATGAGAAAATTTCGTTATATTATGCCCTATAATACATAAAATAAACAGCAATTCTTGTCCAACAGGTGATCTCTACTGGTGCTTCAGGCCATCTCCACTTACCTGGTTCATCCTGGGCAGGTCTTTGATGGAGTCCTTTTTGGTTTCCTTCTCTCTGGCCCACATCCTCAGGTAATACTTATAATCCTTCACCATGTCCTCTATAAGGAATATCCATGTCAAGATAGTCGTGCCCTCAGGAGCATCACTTACGTAAAAGCCGGCTCAAAATCAGCCCAAAAGATGTGATAAAGGAGGGTGTCGCCAGCAGTTACCTTTCTTATCCTCCGGACTCCCGGCCATCTCGCCAGTCTCTGCAGATTTCACCACCTCTCCTGAAAACAGGAAGGAGGAGTCTCAAATTGAAGGAAAACCTGAGGGCTACAGGGTG